CGGCTTATCAAATCAAGTGGTTCCATCCAAAATCAGCATCTATTCTCAGGGTTTTATACAAGTCGACTGAATTGGAATTGTCAGTTATGTGAATACTCGTCTTTGAGGGTTATGTCTGCATAAGTGTCCCACTGGCGAGACTATGATTTCAGCGTCTTGCATCACGGGTTGTCGATCAAGGCCAGCTAATAAAACGGTTTGTTTTCATGGGTGTTTTTTCTGCTTTTATTGCAAGACTTGGTAGGTTCCCAGAACATCTTCTGTTACACATAAGATCATTATTCGTGCTGTACCAGGCCAGAAAGGCCATAGTTATGTACTGTTGCTTCCAGATGTCGTTCGCTATCAGATACGGAATCTTAGTGAATAAAATTCCTAACCCACTGAGCGGCCTGGAGATGTTAGTTACAGTAGCGGTGTGATGGCCTATGCTACGAGACGGCCAGAGCTATTGTTGTGTATCGTATCGATGGGTCCAGAGACATCGTGCTGGCTTATTTTTGAGTGTCGGTTGATGAAATCATCCAAGCATCTCTCGCGGTCGACTGTTCATCTTGTCAAACTCGGATTTCTGAAGACCGTTTAGTCAGTGATTTTTGGGATGCAAGCAACCTTTTCCTGCAAATTTGTGTTCAATGTGAAGTTACTGACAAGAGAGTGAGTTGAATTTTCTCTTGCCCTTTGGACAGGCAGTACAGTTTATCTGAACAGGTTCTTATTTCGCGAGTTCGACAGTTTTCTAACTGTTCTTTATTGAAAGTAACTCTGCATCAAAGCAAGCCACCTTTAGATGCTGGACCAAAAATTAGATAAGTAACTCCTGTCTTGCGTCTTTGTCTCTTATTTAACCTTGTGAAAACCGAACTGTTGCTGAATTCATTCTCCACTTTTACTAGATGTTCCCTACTTGTAACAGATACTGGGGTATTTGCGACATTTCGTAATTTCATTGATGTATGTACTCCAGTTGCAGCCTGCTCTATTGGTCTTGCACTAGACAAATGAGGCAAACCGGTGGAATACGATGGGACTCTTTTAAATATAACTTCCCATCTTTTGACATTCCTATATGTATTTTCTTTACACTTCAGAGATACGTATTAGGACTACTAAGAGTGGGTGAATCCGTAGTACTTTATGGATATTATAAGGTCACTGTGACAGAGAACACAGCTGGTGCACATTTACATTCAAAAGTTTAGTCATTCGCCCCAAAAGGTAACGAGTATGGAATTCAGTCATCGTTTTCGGTCTTTTAGCAACAGTAATAAATATTATAAGATGCTCTTTTCTCCTATTTCTTGTTTGCTTACTAGTATTACTGGTAGTGGGAAGCTGAGTAGCAGTGTGATTATGATTATTTAGTTAGAGACTCATTTTTGGTGTTTAAATCTAATGGTCTTTGTTTTGTCTTTGAATTTAGAAGATCAACCGGTCATTAGGTAGTCATTTGAGCCATACGTCGAAAGATAAAAATGGCGAGTCTGTAAAGGCTTGTGTCTACCATTTACTAGGCTTCATTATGTTTGAACTTGATGATCTCTTGAAACGGCCTCAACAACACAGAGGAACAGTGGTTAGGACAAGACATGGTGATGAAGTGTCACTTTACTTCTTTCATACTTTTTTAATTCTGTTTACAAATGAGTATATCCCAATAATCGAATCTCTTGTAAGTGGTTCGTGAACTATCCTCCAAACAGTGGATAATGAGTGAAGTAGTTGTGCATGTACACCGCTTCACTTATCTCGGGGGTCTCATCACTTATGGCGAAGGCGAGATATCCGCTTGCTGACTAAAGGACGAGTGAACTGTGCGGTAGTTCGCTTCGTCCTAGTTTATGGCTGCGAAACATGGCCAGTAAGAGTAGAAGATATTCGTAGTTTAGTGGTTTTCGATCATAGGTGTGTCTGAAGCATTGCTCGTATATACTGGGACGACCGAGTAAACGAGTAGGAAACGGGTGCTAGATAAGGATGGCAGGTCAGTAGATGAATTATTGAAACTTCATCAGTTGCGGTGGTTGGGACATGTGTTACGTATGCTTAACCACCGACTGCCCCGTCGAGCTATATTTTGCGGTGTGGGAATAGGTTGAAAGAAAGTTAGGGGCGGCCAAACCAAAACATGACAGAAATCCATGAAGTCATTGACAAGTGGACTGAGTCATGTCGGTAGTTGTCGACTACCTGGTTGGGGTCCGCGAGATGGTATTTATGGATGGTTAGAGACCCTGAGTGACATGGCTCAAAACCGTTTGCAATGGCGCCGATGTATTCATTCTTCGCGTTCTCTCAAATCCTAAACTTTTTAATTCCTCATCAATTAATCTTTTATTTTCAAGTTTATTTTACTTCGTGGATAATATTTTCTAACCCTAATAGCTCCGATTACTGCTAATACCTTTACTACCTCTTCTACTATGGGATTCGAATTGAAAATTACATCTCTCTGCTAATGTGGAATGGAATCATAAACGGATGTACGTACGTACGTAGTTTTACGTTGCTATTGATTCATTGATTGAATGATTGGATGTCCGCCATCCTAAATCGTAGATTCGTGTGCTAGTGAGCATGACATCCTACTGTTCGTCACCTGTAGGCATGACAAATGACTTTGAGAAATCTAAGGTTAAGATGGCGGAGTGCTCGCATGATGGCCGATCAGTTTATGAAAATGAGACTGCTACTCCTATTATTTATTCACAAACCTATATGAATGAGAGTGACTTTAAACCAATTTCCATGTCCACTACATATCTGTGGTTAAACAGGACTTGTAGATTCAGTGTTACCTCATAACTGTTGAGACATTTTTATCGTACTATAAAATCATGAAATGCCCGACCTTAATTCTAAACTAATTGTATCGAATAGGGGTGGTGATTCTTTGCTTACATCCTTAAACTTCTCAGGCTTTTTTAAAAATATACCTTTTGAAAAATTAGCCACCTTTATGTCAGCATTCGCTGTTCTTTGAAACGACTACAGTAGTAACTAACCACAACATATTATCTGTTTATGAAAGCGGAATAACAGTTTATACAGTGCATAAGAATGAATACATAGCGCTTGGTGCCCATCTTCAATAAATTTGCTGCCCCAACTAAATGAAAAAGTTATGATATGACCTAGAAAGTGTATTATACAAGCACCCAGCAAATAGAATGATCTCGACCACACAATTTGCGTCCATTTATAAATCCTAGAAACGTCCTTAAGAGAGTCACAAAATGTCACATCAACTTATCGCAGCCAAGTATGTCTGGTGGAAATGTGATCTCAGGGTCAACTTATCGGCCTATGAATAAGACACAAAATTAAGGCCTTTATCGAGTTCTAGGGATCCAACGTCCCAAACAGTAAGCCGCCCAAATATTCATGAGGTCGAAAAGTCTGTAGGCAATCTAAAGGGATGGAGAAAAACAGGACCTGATAAATTGATCCCTGAGATCCTAGTGGTCCAGTTTTAGTAATCAAACTAATCGAGAGCTCAGATAGAATGTGTGAACTTAATGTAATACCATCTCACTGGTCTCAATCACTGATTGCCGAAGTTTGTAAAAAAGCACAAAATTCCGCTTACGATAATCACAGAAGAATCAGTATGGCTAATATAATGTCTAAATTGTTAGCCTCGATAATACTTTGACACCTAACGACAAATCGTGAACAGACTGGAAAAAACCAGGCTGGTTCCCGACCTGGACATATGTATCAACCGAACGGTACTGAAACAAAAACACACCTTTCGACGTCCGACAACAGTTGTATTCCTGGTCCATAAATGGGTGTTTATTCTTAACCGGTGGTTAGACTTTGAATGATATGGCTCAAAACCACTTGATGTGGCACAGATGAATCCATTCTTCATCTTCTTTCAAATTCTAATATTCGAAATTACGCATAACTTTTTTCCTCCTTTTCAATTTACTTAATTGGGTTGTACTCTTCAACCTATATATTCGATCGCTAATCTTTTGCGTTATTGCTACAACCTCTACTACTATGGGATTCGAACCAGCAGTTTCATTTGTGCTAGCATGACATAGCAACTTGAAGTAATGTACATAAATACTAGGTCCTAGCTTGCGATTGACTGATTTCCGCTGTGCATTTCACTGCATGGAATGCATGTATGCGCGTTACTAAAGAGATTATCTGGAATACAACTGCGATCTCAATTACTGATTGTGAACCGTGTGTTTGTGTATGGTCTGGCTGTTTTGTACCTAATATACCTAATTTTATTATGCAGTCTGGTCAAGTAATATTTGTATTTGTATAAAAGTCTAAATCGATTACTGCTTTCTCCGTTGCAAGAAACATCTATATTAGTGACATCAAACAGCTTAGAATCCAATATACAATGTGCGTGTCATGGCGTCTTTTAGTATTATCAAATAATTGAGCGTTGATACTTTAAAATTAGTACATAAGTTAGATCCATTTTAAGATGAAAATAAAATATGTATCACGATAGTTGCAGTAATATGAATATGAAAAAAAGAAACTAAGTGATTACTGACATTAAGAAAGTTTGCAAAAGAGTAAACAGAAATTACAACAATAGGAATAGAATTAAAGATTATTTTTGTGGTGAAAATTAATCAGATTAAACATGAACAATATATAGCAGAGTTTATCTTGTAAAACAAAAATAAACCCATTGAACAAACACAATTAAACAAAGAGGGAAACAAAGAACAGAGTAAAATATAGCAAATTAAATTTCATGGAATGGTTTTATAAAGCTTAAAACTGCAAGAGGAAACCGTAAATTAATAAACAGGCATGATTTGGTTGATTGTATATGCAAAATGAAGTGAAAGTGTATTGCACATACATTGCAATAAGTGTGGAAGATAGTAATTTGAAGAAAAAAAAGGTAAACGAAACCGATAACTGTTAACTGGAATGATTCACAATAAGGAAACAATATTTAGTAATAAATTTTTTTTTGATTTATTGGAATAAATAATGCTTAGTTCTGTAAACTAAGTGATATCTTCTTCTTCAGTTATTGTTTTCTTAAGTTTAAGGAGAAGTGATGTAATCCATGGTTCAAGTCGAGTTATATTGTCATATTCTTGAACCGCTGCCGTGAATGCTTCTACATTTTCTTGTTCTAACGCTTCCGATAATTTCTGTTGAAAGAATAGAAATGATGCATTACTTTGAAAAAAAAATATTATTCCTTTTAAAATAAATTACTGGACTACAGACAAGAAGATGAAATTATTAATCTGTTGAGAAAATAATTCATTAGGAACTACCAATAAACAAATAAACAATTTGTTACTAATAATCAATCAAAGATTCCTGAATTGAAATGAGATTATCATGATTGAATTCGCTTGTATTATTTTAACTACTTTCATGTTACTTACTCCTTTTAACGGCAAAATTTATTTCAAGTGAAAAAAATTGGCTGTCCACCGACGAAACGATGTACGCAAGGTTGTGAATGTAATGGTTAAGATAAACCTTTATACTTCTGTCCTACAATTCTGTCGATCCTAACCCATAAAAACCAACCACTGATTCAATTTATTTGAATTATCAAGTCGAATGTCAGTAGTCTTATTCATTTCTTACATATTTCATTTATGTAACAAATGTATAAAAAGATAAATTTTAAATTGCTCACCTTCATTAAGCCACACTCTCTGGAGTCAGCAAACATAGGATAACATTCTTCATAGGTTTTAAGAGCTTTTTGGCCATTGATTAAATCTACACAGAAATGACAAATAGCAGCTTTGAAAAGATGTCCTTTAGCACCGTATTTCAATAAATTATTTTCCATTGATGCTTTACCAGCCTGTGAAAGAAAACCATCAGCAAGAAATAAAGTGAAACCATTGTAATATATTTCAGTAGATTTTGAACGACAAAAAATAAATAAATTACGACTTAGTTTGCAATGATAATAAAACGATAATAAGACCTGTTACAAAATAAATATAGATGACTGTTAACACATAAGTGAGAGGAAGGATGATAAGGACTAAGTAAAAAAAAATCAGTCAGTTTATTTAATCAGTATCTTTTATGTAGAATAGTTCGGTGTTTTCCTTTGGCAGAACAACAAGTATCAGATACAGATAGGGAATCAACTGCTTTTGCGTTTTATTTTCTTAAATCTGTTTATATCCAGTTAATTAATGAAATTGTTAAGCAGAAAAGTGAGAAAAAAAGTAACCTTAACACTAAAAAGACGTAGTCATAGCAATTCACAAATGAAGACTACTATATAATATGATTCATGTTGACCATCAAACAAGAAAAGTATTGGAGAAAAAGATCTCTGGTACTCTCTCATTTTTACTAGACATCTAACCGATATCCATTTGTGATGCTAACAACGAACAAATTTTTTAGTAGAGCATATATGAGTAAGCTTTGGTTAATATTCTAATTAGTTGCAAGCTAAATATTTTCATTTCACAATAATTTGTCATATTTATTTAAATGAATGAACGAACAGGTTGACAGATATTGGGCATCAGGTATATAGATAATATTTGTTAAAATCATATTTGAACAGAGATTGAGATTTGAACAATTCTAACATGCTGACAAGTAAATTTGTCTAAAATTCATTTGGTCAATAACCAATATCAATTTTAATAAGTACGATAACATGAATCAGTGAGACGTGAATCATGTGAATGTGTGAATACGTATGTGATGTTACTAAAAGTGGATATTCAGTGAATAAATGTCAAACAATCGTTTATTGAGAGTTAGAATAAATAAGCAATTTTAAATGTTTTTAAAAATTCAACTGTGTTTGTAAATGGAGAATCATCAAATACATAATTGTGATGTTAAAATACTCAAAAAACAAAAACGCTACATATGATAGAAACAGGGCGGAAAGAGATTGGTTTGAATTATTTTCTCTGGTTAGCGTTTTTTTGGCAAGTTAGATTTTGACGGAATGGGGTCGCCAACCCCATGTCCAACCCTCCTCCTTTACCCGGGCTTGGGACCGGCAGTAGCCCCGAAGGTTCTACTGGCGGAGTTCGGAAAGAGATAAGGCCCAATTATTTATTAATGATCATTTGCCAAGGGATGAAGAATTAAACACCATCTATTCTGTTCAGGATTTTCTGACTAGCCAATTTGTACAGCGATTGATTATGCAGTCAATTTTTCTTCATACGCCATGAACCTTTTTTCACATGTATCACATCTCACCGATTCATGTTATAACATCCGAAATATAACTAAATAAGCAAATATCAATGTAGATTTAATTTCATTTTTGGTTATATATATTCTGATAATTCTGATATGGTTTATTAACCTAATAAAATGTAGACATGTTTACTGGTCGACACATGTTAGAATCATTTAAATTTCAATCGCTGAGATTATTTCAAATATAATTGTCACTTACCACATTGATTAGTAGTTATACATAATTAAATTTCATAGAAATGATCATAAGATAACATATTTTACAAGTTTATATGTAGTCAATGATTAAAAACGGAGATTTATCAGAAGGTTATAGGATGATGATAGAAAGTTTTTTTTCAATATGTAAATCTCAATTAATAAGTGTTATAACTAACAAAAATAAGCATTCTCTACAAGAAATGCATTTAACGTAAAACAAAACTGGATAAAATTATGATCTAATAGTAGGCTGATTAGTTTCTATTATGATCTAACATAATAGATAAACAAATGATCAGAACTAAGAAATAATATATTTGAATTTTTTTTCCATTGTCAGAATCTTTAACTTATTACATTCAAGTTAATTAGATAATTGACTGCAAAAACAATCACTTTACAAGTAAAGATTATGATTCAAACTATGTGAAATTTCACATGTAGACGACAAACTACTTGATATGGTCATATTTCACAAAATCTTCAGCATCAAAATTAGATTTCGTCAACGCTATACACTTTAGTAGCACAAGCAACAGACGGTTTTTTTTCTAATGTTTTAACAGCTACTCGGACTGTGATTAGATTTTTTAACCCACTTTGATACATTGTAATACAAAGAACTGACTCAGAGACAACATAATCAATATTAGGAAGCATTACCGCTTGAAAAAAACTTAAAGAATATGCATAAATAGATATCTGATGAATAAAAGACTAGATGAAAACCAGAAGCCTGTTTACTTACTGCCAACTATCATAACAATTTGAATTGAACTTTTGGAAATGAGTAATCAGTCTAATCTATTGTCAAGTACGTGATTTGAATACTTCATAGCATTTTGTTAATTGTTAATTACAATAGAATTATGCATAAGATGATATGTAATTATGAGTTTATTCTTAATCTATCTATGAATACAAAGATACCAAATAAAGACAAAGCAGGATGCCACATTTTATCGACAAACTGGTTGTATGTGTAAATGCTAACTACAATTTACTGTGGTTTAATAGAAAATTAAAATAACAATATAAATGTATTCAGAACATCTCATACAACTTCGGTTGACGTTATAGCTAGTGCTAATTGATAAGAACATTTTCTAGATCTATGATATTGATCACAAATGAATTTAGTGACTAATACCAATGACATGAAGACGAAAAGCTGAGTTAAAATTCCAAAATATTCATAATTAATTGTTCAAGAACTATATCTAACGAAGGTAGCTTAGGGATACTTTCTTACACATCGGTGAGCAATTTGAATAGGAATGTAAAGTGATCAATAGCTCAGAACACCTGATTACCTCTAGTCACGTGACACCATCGAAATCATCATATCCTATTCTACTAGAAAGTACTAGAAATGCATGAAGCATAAATTTAAGTTCTTACGTAATTTTTAAGTTTTTGTATTCAGTATCCATTCGGAAAGTTTTGTTGGAAATAACACTGTGAATGATAATATGTTTTGAGTGGCATCTATAAGAACGATTATAAAGACTATAGTTTGCATATCAATACTAATTATCAACATATACATAAACAGCATCGCAACTTAAACAAGTATACCTCTTCAAACAAGTTGGCAGCCTTATCGTATTGTCCCAATTGAGACGCAAGTTGAGCTACAGCAAGTTGACATTTCATTGCTGAACTACTAGATTCTTCACCCTTGTAATAATCAGCTGCCTGTTCGTAGTGACGAATCGCCTGTTCTATATCGACTAAATCCTTTTCATAAATCTCAGCTATGGTCATGTGATGTTTTGCAGCTATAGTAAACCGACCCATCTCTGAATGTAAAACAAGAAAATTGAGTAGTTTATAGCATATTGTAGGTAATAAGTAGAAATGACCTATTCTCAAAAAAGCCTTCTTTACTAAATTAACAAATCATATGCTGGGAAGCTTTGGATTTAAATGTGCAATTACAGATAAAAACATAAGAAAATGCTAAACAAAATAGTCCTCCACAAGTACGTTACAGAAGTTATTTAAAATACGAAATTACTAAACCTGGAAAGGTTTCTACTGATCTAGCATAATTACAGCTAATGACGAACGATTTCTTGATATAGTTGATAACCAGTAAAATAATAAAGATCTGGGATGAGAAAGTACATATTGATAAGGTTAGATCGGAAGTTGATCGATAAACACGGGCATTTACTAAGACACCACCTGAGTTGTAGTTTTATCACGTTTAACTGACTTCTTACTCAACATTCAATGTTGGATGAGAGGACTAAGTTAAGTGTAATCATACCTTCGGTCTTTGGGACCATGGAGAGTTTAAAATGAACAACCTGCTTTCTTCTTTCTGAAATGAATTTTCCTTTTACAGATTCATACTGATATTTTTGCTTCGAGTTTTTTCATTTCTGTACTGTAGGGAAACATGCCAATTTAAAACTATACAGTTTAGCACATTGTTCCAAGTTTGTCCATATAGAATCGTATTCATGAAGTAGCTTAGTCACAACAAAATAATGACATTTTAACGAAAACAGACTAATTTAACTGATTCAACTGCAAGTTTACTAATGTACCTTATGTTTATACAGCTTGAATTTTAGGAAAATGAAATTTTTTATTATTGTCAAGATATAATTTAACACTTTCGAAATTTAGATATACATATGAAAAGTATTCAAAAGTATAAACACTTTCAACATAATGATTATGCCAAGCTCTTCATCTAAAAAGACAAATTAGATCTACACATGAAGCCTATTTACGAGAACAGATGATTTCATTCGGAGAAATGTAAGAAAGATTAAGTACAACATATGAAGTCTATTATCCATTGACAGGATTCTGCATATGTTTATTTCAATGTTTCCGTGTCCCTATAATTGATATTAACTATCTTCTGTCCAATATGTTTAGCACTAAGAAACTTGATTTTACTCAATTAAGACAATAGAAAATAACAAAAAAAACTTAATCACCAGTGATATGGTTAACTTTCATAATTTTCCTACTAAACTTGTCACAAAATTCGTAAAGTTCTAATGTTGTTTTGTCTATCCTTTCATTCAAAAAATTAAGCGTTATTTTAAAACACGAAAACATGTATACATGTATATTTGTGAATAATTTATTGCTAATAGATTTACAGTACTAAACTATAGTATTAATAATAATGTGTATTTATACAGAATAAAACCAGATTAGTAATTTATCGAAATCTAACCAATATTTTTATAAATTAAACTGAATAGATACTAGTCACCTGAAACAGACTGAATTAAAAGTGATGATATTAAAATATCACTAGGTGAATACATATTCGTACAAGAAATGAAAGATAAACTATATAATTCAACTGGTCTTCATTGATATTAATATTGCCTGAATGATCAAACTTAGGAAAAGAAGAGTGAGTTCCGTAAATTGTTGATAAAAAATTAAATGTGTTTTAATTAATCCATGTCAAGAAATTTTTACAACTATTATAGGGTTTTGTCAGAAACAAAATACCGTGACTAAAGAAGTCCAAACTACACCTATCTTACCCACTTATCTTTGAAATATCTTAGAATGAAAATTATTCACAATCACTTGAACTTTACTCACAAAAGTAGTCTATTCGTATGACAGTTACATCTTCGATAGTAGATAAAAAAAAGAGTTAATATAAGTAACAGGCACTTCGATATATATATATATATATATATATATATATATATATATATATATATATATGTAAGAACAAATGTTAGCGAACGATATTGTTTTCAACTAGATCATCATCAGGGTTTACTGTAATATACATGGATATTTATGTGAAAATGTCAATGGTCACAGGACATCGATAGCCACATCCTCGTCCAATTGTATGTATTCTTCGGAATAAAGCTTTCCTTCAAATGTCCAAAATCTCTGAATTATATTTCACCGTACGTATGTACTTCTTTAAGAAACCATTAGGATATCGATCTCAGTTATGACAGATCAACGAAGACAATTAGTAAGACATTTTACACAGCCACTTTCGCGTCGACGTTTCCTAGTCGGCCAGCGATATTCTACTCAAAAAATAAGTTAACTGAATTAACCTCTTCAATGTGCATTTATAAATTCAGCTGCTGCTGTGGAGATGGCCATATCAGACGTATCACCAGGCGACCTAAACAACAAGTGAACATCTCCTAGCATGGTTTGAAATGGTTCATAAAAGCAATAAGCAGCTCTATCTTGGCACACCTGATTGATAGGCGTCATCTTATAGATAAAACCGGATCATTTTCATTGATCTATTGTATACCTCCAACTTGTATTATATGTAGTTACATAATCTATTTTATTGTGATCAGTGACTCATAAATTGCCTTGATCGGTTTAATATTTTTATATGAATATCCATGTGTGTTAGAGTAAAGCCTGATGAAAGTCTAGTTGAAAAGAATACTGTTCGCTTATATGTGTTTTCTAATTTGTGCAATGCAAAACAATTTTAAGGTACAGCTGCAATTTGTAAGGTTTTTTAAGTACATGTACAATGTTCATGAACGACAAATAAGGTATGAAATGATTCACTAACCGGTATATATTTCAATTGCCTTGGTGAGACATTGAATAGACTTTTTGGAATCATCCTTTTTAAAAACCAGTGATGCGTTCACATAGTGAGTAGCTGCATCGTGCTTTGATTTTTGGCTCAAACTAAGACTTGCAGCTTCCAGAAATGCGTTACCGGCCTCTAAATAAATCAACTAGAGCTTATTCACCTAGCTCTTACCTGTCCAATTGTGGGCCATTTTAAAACAATTTCCTGCCTTTTCATACAGTGATATCATTTCATCTGTCTTGTCTGAACTAAAAGGAAAGAAATATCTAACTTTACATCAACTAATACAACATAAATAAGTCACACGTATATATCAGCTACAAAATGTAATACTACACAACTATTAATAATGAATTGGGCAGGTTAGGGTTCAGAAAAAATACATGTAAATGATATGTATATATATATATATATATATATATATATATATACCAACCAATTCCGAGCATTCCAACAGCCGTTTGCTTCACGACTTGAATAAAGGGAAGTTTTGATAGTAAGAAGACTTTAAAAGAATGTACCTTTTATGTATGCTTATATACGAAATGCTATCATAAAATAAACATGATGAAATATCATAAGCAAATGATAGAAATTAGTTAAATATTCCACCTTTCAATCAATTAAGATTTCATTCTTAGGCCGATTGTTGGGCATCTTATTACATATGTGCATTAACTTAAGTCGATACAGAATATTAGCACAGAGATGAAATCGTCAAGACAAACTCCAGGGTAGTAAAGTAGTGATAGTCAGTAGAAGTAGAAAAGACCAAACATAGGTAAAAAAGGTTTAATAGGAAAGAATTAATCTTAAAGATCATAAATATATGATCATTTCGAAACTCAGGACGCATATATAGCATTGTGAAGGATTCCGGATTAAATCGCCTAACGTCCCCAACCAAGTAGTTTTCCTGATGATCTAAGTGCATTTTTTAACTTTGTACAAATCCATGTTGTCACATTCCATATTAGTACAGACGGGACTAACAATAACAAACAACGACTCCAGTGTTCTGGCTTTTTTGAGGCATTGATCGTTAGCTTATTTTTACGTTACCTTTTTTGATACGCTTAAAATATACAGAATAATAAGATCACAAAAGCTGATCGGAGCACTAGTTTAAGGCTGTGATGTATATTATTTATGCTCTATATACTTAAAATATCCATGAGATAGGGTTATTCAAAGAAATTCAGATACACTGCACAGAAATAAAGTTAAACTTTAAACGGTGCTTTATAATATACTTAACTAAATAGAACGAAGATTCACAATGCGCACATATGAGTGAAAATGTAATGACAATACAACTACATATTCAGCTAATTCAACTTCAACACAACTTGAAGGCAACCCATTTCCTTGGACTTGTTGTTATTAAAATAAAACTTTAGTCTTTCAAGGCACTGGTGGTTGATTTAGGTGAGAGTACATACACATCATGATTATAGTCGAGAATTCAACAAAAATTAATAATCAGGGACGCTGGTGGGTAAAAATCAGGATTAATTTCACTGATAATAATGTATGTACTCATCTCCCTTTAAGTTTTAAGTCACTTTCTCATCTTGTTAACTTCAACTATGACCGTTTTTCATCTCTACGTCATAACGCATAACACAACCTAGTGAGCTATTGAAAATAGTTTTATGCGGGTATTCATTTTAAATAAAAAGGCTATTTTATGCAATCAGTGCAGAGAAATGTTGTTTAATGCAGTAACATTTCAATATATATATATATATATATATATATATATATGTATATATATATACATATATATATATATATATATATATATATGAGAACAATCAATTAGATGGAAGGAAATAAACGCTAAATTATGAAAACAGTCATCTATGGACGAATCACCAAAGTGACGTTAGCAAGAACATGTGACCAATATAGTGATCCTGTTTACCACACAACACCAGGAATATGTAAATTAACAGGATGAAATTTGATGAAATGAATTTAAAAATAGCATTAGTAGTGAAACTTAATGAATGTTAAGAAGGGATGACAGTCGTAACAGTTTAACACTTGAGAAAATTTAAGGAATGTATTGTTCGGCAGTGAGACTGAATTTGAGCTTACCTAAGGTCTTCAATTACAAATTACGATCACCTGGTCAGGTGTAATTAAAAAACATGCACAGCCGAATACTGTTTAGATTAACAGTCGATTGGTTTTTAAACTAATATCATATACAGCTTTGACCAGTTTTTGATATGATGTAACGATCGGCGATATTTTACGCAAAACTAGACAGCAACTTTATCCTTTAAATCTGATATTCAATTAATTGATAGACCCATATTTTCAGTGAGATAAAACTAGTGGTGATTGAAATTTATGTCAGATATTATTTGTTAGTCACTTTTACAATCGATCACTAGCTTTAAATATGTTGACAAAGCGGTGACTCAGCCAGAAATAAATTAAACGACAGCTGGAAGGCACCAGAATTAATCCATATTCCAACAAATTGAAGTACCAAAGAGATTAAGCTAGTAGCGCATTTCTATCTATTAGTGTTCTGGAACGATGCTTTATGTTAGTACCATCCACAAATACTACAAAGACGACAGTTTTGCTGTAAACCTAAGACAGAGAAAGGTTGACACCCATTAATTTTAGATATACTAGTAGGTTAAATTTTTAAGGGATGGTTGAATTTACCATGAGCAATTATTTCAAGCTTTCACATAAATTTACTGAAAGCGCCTCCCTTACCGGAGCGTTTAAACTACATGAAAAGAGCTTTCTAATTATGGTATATATAATCCAGCAAAAACGGTTTTATGAATATACGGTACACAACTATTATAATTCAACTGCAGCCCAGCAATCTACTGACACGCCAACATGAAGAATAGCAAAGGCTAACAAAAATTCTTTGGAATATCAGATGTACAAAATGTACACTCTATAACAGGGGTTTGGTTTAAGCAATGAATATCCACCAGCTATAAGAAATTCTGATGTTTTAGAGGCATATAAAACAAATCCGAGAAAAATGATAGTCTCTCATGACCAGGAAAACACTAGCCCGACAGGCTTATGTACTACGGAATAACATTTTACGGTCTAAAATGCGAGGACTAGAAAAACTCACCCTGAACCAAAAGAAAAGAATCCTTTTTTATTCTTTTTCTGTGCCTCTGCAATTAGTTCTCTCGCTTTTTTCTCGTTCTCATCCATTGTTTCAAGGTTACCCACAATTTGAAGTAACCGCGGGAGAGTACAACACGTAGCCCAATCTCTTTCGATCAATATCCAAAATATTTTTACCATCCAGGACAAACCGGTTGATTTCACTGCTATCGCTTCTTGCTGTTTCTGTGAAGCTTCAGGTATTCGGTCATGTAAAAGTTGTGTTCGTCTAGCCACTTGACTGTACTGATTCAGATGAGTTGGCAGTTACGCCTCTTACCCCCAATGGAGCACAGGCCGCACACCACTTTTCTCCAACCAACTCTGTTCCACGTTTCCTTTCGCCTTGAGAGTTCCATGTGAGGGCTTGTCTCATGACGCAGTTAGGTGCTGTTCGTAATATGTGCCCTATCAACGTCCACCACTTCTTCCAGATTTCCTCCTTCACTGGAATCTCGTTTGTTTTCTCCCACAGTTCGTTGTTGCTGATGGTGTCTGGCCAACGAATCCGAAGTATTTTGCGTAGACAGCTGTTAATAAACACTTGTATCTTCTGAATGATGGCTTTGGTAGTTCTCCATGTTTCTGCTCCATACAGTAGAACTGTCTCGACATTTGTTTTGAAAATCCTGATTTTGGTTTTGTTTGAAGGTTGTTTGGAGTTCCAGATATTTTTCAGTTGTAGAAATGCAGCCCTTGCTTTGCCAATCCGTGCCCTCACATCTGCATCGGATCCACCATGGTTGTCGATGATGCTGCCCAGATATGTAAAGGTGTTAATGTCCTCCAAGACATCTCCATCAAGAGTGATTTGGTTTGTGCATGTTGTGTTGCATCGGAGAATCTTGCTTTCTCCTTTATGTATGTTGAGACCTACTGCTGCAGAGGCTGCTGCTACACTGATCGTCTTCTGTTGCATTTGTTGTTGCGGGTGAGAGAGAAGAGCCAGGTCATCTGCGAAGCCCAGATCGTCCAGCTGCGTCCTAACTGTCCAGTTGATACCGTGCTTCCCTCCAGATGTTGACGTTTTCCTAATCCAGTCGATCATCAGGAGAAAGAGAAAGGGTGAGAGTAAGCAACCTTGCCTGACATCGGTCTTCACCTCGAAAGAGTCTGTTAGCTGTCCTTGGTGGACGATTTTGCAGTTGAATTCATAATAATAATTCCGTATGATGTTAACTATTTTCTCAGGCACACCGTAGTATCGAAGAAGCCTCCACAGTGTTTTCCTATCCACGCACGCTATCGAATGCTTTCTCGTAGTCGATGAAGTTGATGTAGAGTGGTGAGTTCCATTTATCTGATTGTTCCGCAATAATCTGTAAAGTTGCAATACGGTCGAAACACGATTCATCTTTACGAAATCTAGCCTGTTGGTCTCGAAGTTGGGCGTCTACGAAGTCCTTCATTCTGTTTGACAATACCCTGTTGAAGACTTTGTCTGGTATTGAGAGAAAAGTGATGCCTCTGTAGTTCGCACACTTGCTGAGATCTCGTTTCTTTGTTATTGTGATGTGGAATCTTTCTTTCCAGTCTGATGGTACTCGTTCTTCATCCAAATCTTGTTGAAGAGAATATGGAGTATTTTTCTGGTTGCTGCCACGTCAGCTTTATTTACCTCCGCTGAAATGTTGTCTGGACCTGCTACTTTGCCGCTCTTGATTTGTCTGATGATCATACTGATCATTTCAATTGTTGATGGCCAAAAATTGATTACGAGTGCGGTGGATGCTGCTTCGATGTTGGGTGGATCAGTGTGACTGGTCGACTCAAGAGTTCCTTAGAGTGTTCTACCTACCTATTTCGCTGTTCGGTGTTGCTGGTTACTTTGACGTCCTTGCTTTTCACTGGTTCTTCCAGCTCACGGTAGTTTCCAGCGATCTTCTTTGTTGTACCGTACAGGTGTCTCAAGTTTCCTTCTCTGGCAGTATTAACGCCGTCACTGTTAGGTCTTACAAATATTCACATTTATCGGCTTTTATGCTCCTCTTTACTTGTTTGTTTGCTTCTGTGTATTCTTCTTGTTCCTAGACTTTCTTCTCTCTTTTTCGGCTGACACTGATTGCTGCCTTCTTGTTCCTTCCTTCTTGAATATTCTTAAGAATATCTGCTGAGATCTGTTCCCAGTGAAGGTGGTTCAGGTCACCTAGAGCCTCATATCTAAACTACTGCTCCTCTTTTCCCTTTCCAAATGTTCTCTATTGATGTTTTCTCTCCCC